GCTTATGTGCATGTCACTATTGTGTTTAATGTTATATGTCATTAAGTATTCCGGAGTAGGTGGAAGGAACTCACTCCTCCCAGCGACTATAACAAATATTGCAGGAACAACCGTGGACATCTTCAAGAGAAAACTAGACTGTTTTCTAAAAGAAGTGCCGGACCAACCAGGCTGTGGTGGGCCTGCGGGCCGCTCCAAGCAACAGCCTGGTGGACCAAACTCTCACAAGTAGAGCCTGGCCTCGGGCCGGGCTTGGGGAGTAGAAGAACTCCCAGAACCCCATCAAGCAGGTATCCTTGTGAAGTGTTAAGACACCATTGTTGATATGTGTTGCCGTATGTTTGGTCATTATTAGTTTTGGACGACATCAATCAGTAAAGTTGTTCCCTGTGTATCAGGGACAGGGACCTCGTAGCCTGGTGGATAGCGCGCAGGGCTCGTAATTCTGTGGCGCGGGTTCGATTCCCGCACGAGGCAGAAACAAATGGGCAAAGTTTCTTTCACCCTGAATGCCCCTGTTACCTAGCAGTAAAATAGGTACCTGGGTGTTAGTCAGCTGTCACGGGCTGCTTCCTGGGGGTGGAGGCTTGGTCGAGGACCGGGCCGCGGGGACACTAAAGCCCCGAAATCATCTCAAGATAACCTCAAGATCAGTATGCAAGTTCTTTAAATAAACATATTTTCGTACATATAGAGTTTATGTCAAGCCGTATTCAAACACTGTCACGCTAAACTAATTAACATACGTGCCCCAAAGTTCCATACTATTTAGTCCCCTCTGCACAAATAAATATTTGATACAGAGAACCAGGAAAGGACGTCTTTATTGTATTCCCTAAGCTTTGTAGGCATCATGACCAACGTGATTGATAGGCAGAGCTGGTCGGTAAGGAGTTCCCTACAATTGGACTCTTACTGACACTGCGCTCCTCTTTCTGTATGACACTACTCACGTCTTGCCGAGTCCGTGGTTGCATTGTTGAAGCCGTCTGCCAATTGCAAAGTGGTGACATTGCATGAAATTACAACCAGATGAAGTAAAAATCAACAGTGAAATTTACTGAGCAGATGCCAAAAATAAAGGATATCCTTGATAACTCAGCAAACCCAGTATCAAATATTATCTTCATTGGAGAATTCAATCTACCCAGCTTAAGATGAAGAACAGCAAACAATAATATTATAGCAAGAAACCAAGTTGGAAATAATCAACCACAGGTCAGAAAACTACCAAGATTCTGTGACAGTCTCGCTCATGGGGTGCATAATAAAGAAAGAAATTGAGTCTCGCTCAACCAACAGATTACAAACCCAACTAGGAACGAACACACACACTAGAACTGATCTTCACAAACAATGCACTAATCAGACACATTACAATCTCAGATACTAAATACTCAGACCACAAGCTCATTGAACTTCAAACTAACATTAATATCACTCCCACACAGGGAATAGCTCGACTGACAGCTGAAGCTTACAAGGTCTGCTTGAAGCACGTGCCTGTGAGGAGGGGCAGAAAGAGGACCACTCTAGAAAGAGAACGCAGACGACTGTACAGGAGAAGGAAAAAAATAACGGAAATGCTTCGGCAGACACAACTATCACAAGCAAGGAAAATAAGCCTAAGCAGGGAGATCGAAGAAATAGAACAAACGTTGAAGCGATCATACGAGTCTAAGGAAATGGAATTGGAACAGAAAGCTATACAAGAGATAAAGAAAAATTCAAAATATTTTTTCGCATATGCAAAATCAAAATCCTCCACAAGTATTGAACTTTTACTTACAACTGAAGGTTTGTACACAGGTTAACAAAGAAATCAGTAATATCATAAAAGGCTAATTTGAGGCTATGTTTAGCACACCAATAAACAACATGAAAGTTGAAGATCCAGAGAGCTTCTTTATGAATGACATCCCAAGCGCCAGATAATATAACTGTGACTGATATTAACACGAACTCAGAAGACTTTGAAAGAGCAATTGACAACATGCCCATGCACTCAGCTCCTGGGCCTGACTCATGGAATTCAATATTCAAAAAGAATGTAAAGAACCAGTAGCATGAGCGCTCAGCGTAATATGGAGAAAGAGCCTGGATACAGGGGAGATACCAGCAGCACTTAAATCAGCAGATATAGCTCCTCTGCACAAGGGAGGCAGTAAAGCTTTGACAACAAATTATAGACCAGTTGCACTAACATCACACAATAAGTCTTTGAAAGAATGATTAGGAATCTAATATCCAGTTTATGGAAAACAATGATCTTCACAATCCTGGAAAAGATGATATAGTGGGGAATATCCTGTCTGTTACAGTTACAGTTACTCAACCACTACGACAAAATCACAGAATTAGAAGAAAAACAAGATGCAGATGTTGTTTACACAGATTTTGCAATGGCATTTGACAAATGTGACCATGGAGTGATAGCCCATAAAATGAGACCAATAGGAATAACGGATAAAGTGGGGCGTTGAATTTTCAACTGTCAAACAGTGTAAGTCAGTCAAATAAGATCAAGTCCAAGTGCAGTGAAGAGCTCTGTACCCCAGGGCACAGTCCTGGCACCACTGTTATTTCTCCTTTTTTATCTCGGATACAGAAAAAAAATACTAGTCACAGCTTCGTGTCATCCTTTGCACATGGTACAAAACTCGGCATTAAAATTACCTCTGTAGAAGACACTGAAAAACTACAGTCATGTTTAACGGTGATAAGTTCCAGGTACTAAATGTTTGGTGTAAACGAGGAACTTAAACGAAACACAAGGTAGAGGTCACAGTCGGACCTACTCATAGAAGAAAATCAACAGGTAAAAGATCTGAGAATTATAATGTCTTACAACCTGACATTTAGTGAACTCTTTGGTTTGAACATATTTAAACCAAGCAAATAATAGCAGCAGAGATATAAATTTAATACCATTTAAATAATTGGTGTTGTCCCGGCTTGAGTACTGCTCAGTACTCTCTTCCCCCTTTATAACAGGAGAGATTTGTGAAACAGAGGGAGTGCAGAGAACCTATACAGCATGCACAGAAACGATAAAGCATCTAAATTACTGGTGTTCTAAACGTATAAAAACTTTCAAAATGTACTCTCCGGAAAGAAGACGTGAGAGATATCAAATAATATATACATGGAAGATACTGGAGGGCCAGGTCATAAATTTGCACAGTAGAATAACAACATGATGGAGCGAAAGATACGGAAGGAAATGCAAAATAGAACCATTGAGGAGTAGAGGTACCATAGGCACAATCAAAGAACAGTCTGAATATCAGAGGTCCACAGCTGTTCAATACCCTCCCAGCAAGCATTAGAAATATTGCCGGAACATAGGAGGATATCTTCAAAAACACATTTTTGTAAGTTCCTGCAAGAAGTGCCGGACCAACCAGGTTGTAGTGGATATGTGGACCTGCGAGCCTCTCCAAGCAACAGCCTGGTGGACCAAGTTATCACAAGTACAGCCTGGCCCCAGGCTGAACTAGGGAAGTAGAACTACTCACAAAACCCTCTCCAGGTATACTATGGGTAGTGTTGGAGAGGTTTCCTCCTTCTTGAGGTTATCTTGAGATGATTTCGGGGCTTTAGTGTCCCCGCGGCCCGGTCCTCGACCAGGCCTCCACCCCCAGGAAGCAGCCCGTGACAGCTGAATAACACCCAGGTACCTATTTTACTGCTAGGTAACAGGGGCATAGGGTGAAAAAAACTCTGCCCATTGTTTCTCACCGGCGCCTGGGATCGAACCCAGGACCACAGGATCACAAGTCCAGCGTGCTGTCCGCTCGGTCGACCGGCTTCCTTACTACCCGCCAAACACACACCGAAACTGCGACGTTGGTACAACGTTCGAACAAGTTTTAACACCTTCTCACCAGTTATAACAACCAATATAGCAAGTTGTAACAACGTTCTAATACGTCATGAACACGTTAAGCCAAGATGTAACAACTTAATTGCAAGTTGTAACAAGCGGAAAATAGAGACAGTTACGGTTTGTGTTTCCAGGGTATGGACTTGTTCACACAAAGATAATAACTCGGCAGGAACGAAGACACCAGCAAAACTTGTGTTCCTTTTCAAGGCTCTAAATTAAAGACACGATGATGATGATTCTGTTTATCTGAGAGCGACAGTAACGCGTAATATTCTGGTAACAATTCCACTGTAAAACTTATAATTTGTTTTGTACTTTAGTGTTTTCTGCCAACTTTGTGTATTTGAATTTGTTAATTGATTTTAATTGTCATACTAAATACAAAAGAATTTCGACTGAAGGTCATGATGATTACTTAATTAAATTATTCAATGTCTGATTTCTCTACATTACAGTAAGGTGTTATTTACAATAGGTTACATTTACATTTACAATAGGTTACATTTACATTTACAATAGGTTACATTTACATTTACAATAGGTTACATTTACATTTACAATAGGTTACATTTACATTTACAATAGGTTACATTTACATTTACAATAGGTTACATTTACATTTACAATAGGTTACATTTACATTTACAATAGGTTACATTTACATTTACAATAGGTTACATTTGGTTACAGTGGTGGCTACAGTGCAATATATGTTCTTATAATTATTAAATCATCCCAAGATAACCACTGAACCTGTCGACTGCCAGAGAAAAAAAGTATAAGATCTAGTTTCTGGCCGGATGGCCCGCAGGCAGAAGTTTAGAGACCCCTGACCTAGAAGATGGAACAATTAGTCTTTCTGCTATCCATCGTCAAGTAAACGAGCATCGAGAGCCATTTGAGTCGGCAGCCCTCCCCGTTCCACTCCTCACGGAAAGTATGCACCTAAGGGCATTCATGGCTGTGGTGGATAGTGGTGACTGTTGTGGTGGTAGTGGCTATTGCTGCTGTGGTGGTGGCGGTGGCGGTGGAGGGGGTGGTGGTCGTACTGCCGGGGGTGGCGGTGGTGGCGGCGGCGGTCGTACTGCCGGGGTGGCGGCGGCGGTAGTACTGCCGGGGTGGCGGCGGCGGTAGTACTGCCGGGGTGGCGGCGGCGGTAGTACTGCCGGGGTGGCGGCGGCGGTAGTACTGCCGGGGTGGCGGCGGCGGTAGTACTGCCGGGGTGGCGGCGGCGGTAGTACTGCCGGGGTGGCGGCGGCGGTAGTACTGCCGGGGTGGCGGCGGCGGTAGTACTGCCGGGGTGGCGGCGGTAGTACTGCCGGGGTGGCGGCGGCGGTAGTACTGCCGGGGTGGCGGCGGCGGTAGTACTGCCGGGGTGGTGGCGGCGGTAGTGCTGCCGGGGGGGCGGCGGCGGTAGTACTGCCGGGGTGGCGGCGGCGGTAGTACTGCCGGGGTGGCGGCGGCGGTAGTACTGCCGGGGTGGCGGCGGCGGTAGTCCGGCCGGGGCGGCGGCGGTAGTACTGCCGGGGTGGCGGCGGCGGTAGTACTGCCGGGGTGGCGGCGGTAGTACTGCCGGGGTGGCGGCGGCGGTAGTACTGCCGGGGTGGCGGCGGCGGTAGTACTGCCGGGGTGGCGGCGGCGGTAGTACTGCCGGGGTGGCGGCGGCGGTAGTACTGCCGGGGTGGCGGCGGCGGTAGTACTGCCGGGGTGGCGGCGGCGGTAGTACTGCCGGGGTGGCGGCGGCGGTAGTACTGCCGGGGTGGCGGCGGTAGTACTGCCGGGGTGGCGGCGGCGGTAGTACTGCCGGGGTGGCGGCGGCGGTCGTACTGCCGGGGTGGTGGCGGCGGTAGTACTGCCGGGGTGGCGGCGGCGGTAGTACTGCCGGGGTGGCGGCGGCGGCGGTAGTACTGCCGGGGTGGTGGCGGCGGTAGTACTGCCGGGGTGGCGGCGGCGGTAGTACTGCCGGGGTGGCGGCGGCGGTAGTACTGCCGGGGTGGTGGCGGCGGTAGTACTGCCGGGGTGGCGGCGGCAGTGATGGGGACAGAGCTGCGGACATTCTCACGTCAGATAATGTCATATTTTTGTCGCAGTGGCCGTTAGTGTGTCGCAGCGAGGGGGTCACGTCACTCTCCAACACACTCAAGTGGCCCTCCCCCCCCCCTCCTCACACACTCAAGTCACAACCCCCTCACACTTATGCTGTATCTTATCACTTCCTCTCAACCCACTCCTCTCTCAGTGCCCACGCTTACACCCACTTACGGATGGCGTTTGTCAATATAGTTGTTCTTTGCTCTCGTTATCTGACTGTCTCCCAGGGTTAGTATACCCCTCATGTTGTCTCTGACTGTCTCCCAGGGTTAGTATACCCCTCATGTTGTCTCTGACTGTCTCCCAGGGTTAGTATTCCCCTCATGTTGTCTCTGACTGTCTCCCAGGGTTAGTATTACCCCTCATGTTGTCTCTGACTGTCTCCCAGGGTTAGTATTCCCCTCATGTTGTCTCTGACTGTCTCCCAGGGTTAGTATTACCCCTCATGTTGTCTCTGACTGTCTCCCAGGGTTAGTATTCCCCTCATGTTGTCTCTGACTGTCTCCCAGGGTTAGTATTACCCCTCATGTTGTCTCTGACTGTCTCCCAGGGTTAGTATTCCCCTCATGTTGTCTCTGACTGTCTCCCAGGGTTAGTATTACCCCTCATGTTGTCTCTGACTGTCTCCCAGGGTTAGTATTACCCTCATGTTGTCTCTGACTGTCTCCCAGGGTTAGTATTACCCCTCATGTTGTCTCTGACTGTCTCCCAGGGTTAGTATTCCCCTCATGTTGTCTCTGACTGTCTCCCAGGGTTAGTATTACCCCTCATGTTGTCTCTGACTGTCTCCCAGGGTTAGTATTACCCTCATGTTGTCTCTGACTGTCTCCCAGGGTTAGTATTACCCCTCATGTTGTCTCTGACTGTCTCCCAGGGTTAGTATTCCCCTCATGTTGTCTCTGACTGTCTCCCAGGGTTAGTATTCCCCTCATGTTGTCTCTGTCTCCCAGGGTTAATATTACCCCTCATGTTGTCTCTGACTGTCTCCCAGGGTTAGTATTCCCCTCATGTTGTCTCTGACTGTCTCCCAGGGTTAGTATTACCCCTCATGTTGTCTCTGACTGTCTCCCAGGGTTAGTATTACCCCTCATGTTGTCTCTGACTGTCTCCCAGGGTTAGTATTACCCCTCATGTTGTCTCTGACTGTCTCCCAGGGTTAGTATTCCCCTCATGTTGTCTCTGACTGTCTCCCAGGGTTAGTATTACCCCTCATGTTGTCTCTGACTGTCTCCCAGGGTTAGTATTCCCCTCATGTTGTCTCTGACTGTCTCCCAAGGTTAGTGGGTTGGACGTCTAACGGGTCCTCCACTCTTCCAACAGAACTGCCATACTCCTTACACTAAAACATGAATGTGATTCCAAACTCGACATGATAATTGCAACTCCTTGTCATCTTTGACAACACTCTACTTTCTCAAGGCTGTGACATGCTTGTGTCTGAAGCCAGGCACAGATATAATGAAATAATGATGAAGTCAAGAGTTTGTCTCCTGTGAATTCCCTCCCGCCTGTTCCTGGGTGAGGTTCTACTCCCCAGGCCTGGACCGTGGCAAGGCTTGACTTGTGAGGTTACGTATTACTACCTACCCAGCAATACCTACCTACCTTGTGCTTACCTTATGTAATGCTACATACTTGCTTGATGGGGTTCTGGGAGTTCTTCTACTCCCCAAGCCCAGCCCAAGGCCAAGCTTGACTTGCGAGAGTTTGGTCCACCAGGCTATTGCTTGGTGGCCCGCAGGCCCACATACCCACCACAGCCCGGTTGGTCCGGCACTTCTTTTAGAAAACAATCTTTTTTTTTTCTTGAAGATGTCCACGGTTGTTCCGGCAATATTTCTGATGCTCGCTGGGAGGACGTTGAACAACCTTGAACCTCTGATGTTTATGCAGTGTTCTCTGATTGTGCCTATGGCACCTCTGCTCTTCACTGGTTCTATTCTGCATTTTCTTCCATATCGTTCACTCCAGTACGTTGTTATTTTACTGTGAAGATTTGGGACCTGGCCCTCCAGTATTTTCCTGATGTATATTATTTGATATCTCTCTCGTCTCCATTCTAGTGAGTACATTTGGAGAGCTTTGAGACGGTCCCAATAATTTAGGTGTTTTATCTCGTCTATGCGTGCCGTATATGTTCTCTGTATTCCCTCTATTTCAGCAATCTCTCCTGCTCTGAAGGGGAAAGTGAGTACTGAGCAGTACTCAAGACGGGACAACACAAGTGACTTGAAGAGTACAACCATTGTGATGGGATCCCTGGATTTGAAAGTTCTCGTAATCCATCCGATCATTTTTCTGGCTGACGCAATATTTGCTTGGTTATGCTCCCTAAACGTTAGGTCGTCAGACATCATTATTCCCAAATCCTTGACATGTTGCTTTCCTACTATTGGCAGATTTGATTGTGATTTGTACCCTGTATTATGTTTAAGGTCCTCATTTTTATCATACCTGAGTACCTGGAATTTATCACTGTTAACATCACGTTATTTTCTGCTGCCCAGTCAAAAAATTTATTAATATCTGCTTGTTGTTTTTCAATGTCTTCCGCAGAGATAATTTTCATGCTGATTTTTGTCATCTGCAAAAGATGACACGAAGCTGTGGCTTGTATTTTTATCTATATCTGATATGAAAATAATGAAAAGTAGTGGCGCAAGGACTGTACCTTGAGGTACAGAGCTTTTAACTGAGCTTGGACTATTTTACAGGATTGATTGTTACTCTTTATGTTCTGTTCGACAGGAAATTGAGTATCCACCGTCCTACTTTACCAGTTTACCTTGTGTTGGTTTCGGGGCTTAACGTCCCTGCGGCCCGGTCATCGCCCGGGCCTCCTCGTTGCTGGCCTGGTCAACCAACCAGGTCAACCGCGTCCAACAGCCTGGTTGACCAGTCCAGCAACGAGGAGGCCTGGTCGTCGACCGGGACGCAGGGATGCTAAGCCCCGAAAACATATCAAGGTAACCTGAAGATCATAGCAAGGCTATAGAACGCAGCTGCTCGCAGCCTGACGTACGAATCACAGCCTGGTTGATCAGGTATCCTTTGGAGGTGTTTGTCAAGTTCTCTCTTGAACACTGTGAGGGGGGGGGTGGGGGTCCGCCAGTCATGCCCCTTATGTGTAGTGGAAGCGTGTTGAACAGTCTCGGACCTCTGATGTTGATAGAGTTCTCTCTCAGAGTACCTGTTGCACCTCTGCTCTTCAACGGGGGTATTCTACACATCCTGCCATGCCTTCTGGTCTCGTGTGATGGTATTTCTGTGTACAGGTTTGGGACCAGCCCCTCTACTATTTTCCACGTGTAAATTATTATGTATCTCTCCCGCCTGCGCTCAAGAGAATACAGATTTAGGCTCTTTAGTCGGCCACAGTAGTTTAGATGTTTTACTGAGTAGATTCTAGCAGTAAAGGATCTCTGCACGCTCTCCAGGTCAGCAATTTCTCCAGCTTTGAAAGGGGCTGTCATTGTGCAGCAGTATTCCACTCTAGAGAGCACTAGCGTCTTGAAAAGTTTCATCATCGGTATAGCATCTCTAGTGTGAAAGGTTCTTGTTATCCAACCTGTCATTTTTCTTGCAGTTATGACGGCTACTTTATTGTGTTCTTTAAAGGTAAGGTCTTCCGACATGAGTACACCCAGATCCTTTACATTGCCTTTTCGTTCTATGTTACGATTTGACTGAGTTTTGTACGTGGTTTCCGTTTTTATAATTTCATTTTTTTCCGTAGCGCATGAGCTGGAACTTGTCTTCGTTAAACACCATATTATTTTCTGTAGCCCATAGAAAGACCTGATTTACAACTGACTGGAGGTTTGCCGTGTCCTCTATGTTGCCTACTCTCATGAAGATCCTAGTGTCATCTACAAAGGATGATACAGTGCTATAGATTGTGTCCTTGTCTATGTTCGTTATGAGAATGAGAATAAGTACGGAGCAAGCACAGTACCCTGGGGGACTGAGCTCTTCACGGTTGATGGTCCGGATTATATTTTGTTCACTATTACACAGTGGGTTCTGTTAGTCAGGAAATTGTAGATCCATCTGCCTATTTTTCAAATAATTGCTTTTGCACGCATTTTGTGAGCAGTAACACCATGGTCACATTTGTAGAAGGCTTTTGCGAAAGCTATGTAAATTACTTCTGCGTTTTGTTTGTCTTCCATAGCATCTAATGTCATGTCATTTTCCAGCAACTGTGACAGGCAAGAGCGCCCTGTTCTGAAACCATGTTGTCCAGGGTTATGAAGATGCTGTGATTCCATGTATTTTGTGATCTTACTTCTTAGCACTCTCTCAAAGATTTTTATGATGTGCGATGTTAGTGCTATCGGTCTGCGATTTTTTGCCTCTGCCTTATTTCCTCCTTTGTGGAATGGTGTTATCTCTGCTATTTTTAGTATGCCAGGGATAACGCCAGTATCTAGGCTTTGTCTCCAAAGAATTTGAAGGGCCTGTGATAGTGGTTTTTTAAAGTTCATGATGAATATAAAGTTCCAAGAATCAGGGCCTGGTGCAGAGAGCATAGGAATACTCTTTATGGCTTCTTCAAAATCTAGTGGGGATAGGGCGACGTCTGATACATGATTTGATGTTGGTATCACATCAATGAAAAATTCATTTGGGTTATCAATCTTTAGTGTATTTAGTGGCTTACTGAAAACAGTCGTACTGCTTCCTCGGTATTTCGCTCATTTCTTTGTTGTCATCTGTGAAAGTTCCATCTCCCTTTTGCAGGGGCCCGATACTAGATGTGGTTTTTGGTCTTGATGTTGCATAGGGGAAAAAAATATTTCGGATTTCTCTCTATTTGACTGATGACCTTTTGCTCTCTTTGCCTCTCCTGGGTTTTGTGTGATTCTTGTAGCTTTAGTTCAATTGTTTCTATTTCTCTACCTAACCTTCTTCGCCGTTCTTGAGACAGGGTGCGACTCTCAAGTTGTTCCAAGATTCGTTTTC